CTTCTCCCATTTTTGAACTTTTGTTCTGGATTCTAACAAATTTAAGAGTGAAACTTCAATTCAGTACTGGGTTCTTATTTCCCTAGGTTCAAATACAAATGATTCTTTGGGTGACGGTACTTCCCCCTGAATCCCCGCTGCACGCGGCCGTGGTTCCGCGGCGGCTACCGTATCTTTCCATTCGGGATTCAGACACTTCCCTTCAAGACGCTCGACTGAGCGCGATCGGATGAAACGAGCGCGACGTGATTGTCGGGGAGAAGTACCTACACCCCAGTTTTTTTATGTATAAGAAACTAGTATTCTAGCAAATGAGGCATCTTACCTGACCAAACATTGTGCATCCTTGAATACCGGCCAGTACAAGGAACATCAGAGCCCAGAAATGTCCCGTTGAAAGCAATGTATCAGGGTTAGAAAACGACTGAAATTACATCTATATTGATTATATCGAAAATACAGTTTTGACTTTTTAAAAAACATTATAAATATGATTCATTGATTATTGCAAGAGTTGATTGCTGAAATTGACTTTCACACTGATGACATTTGACGCTGATAGTGCTCCCAGAAGGGTTTATGAAGCGTTTGGCCCAGTTACAAACTGCTGCTTAGCTCTCACTGAAGCCAGAAGTTTCTATGGGAGGGAGGAGTGGGGACTTTCGAAAACTATAAAATTTTGAAATGGTAAAAACAGGGTTATCCGGTAGATCCAACCAATTTTGACGAGATGACCACAAATTCCTTTGGCTTCCGAACTTTTTTGACTTGGAGAAGCGATTCAATAATATTTCATTCGATTGCAGTTAATATTTACATCAATTTTTGAGCGATATTTACAGTTTCTTACCGTAATCACTTGCATGAAAACCACGGAATATGTTGGATAGACAAGTCCTCCGATAACGCATGCTGTGAGTCCTATCGTTAACATTTTCCAGTGGGGACTGGCATAAGCGAGAATTTCTAATAGATTGGTCTTCTTCACTCCTTCAGCCTTCAATTCTGAAAACTCTCGTCTTTTTTTGGGATTAATTACGAATTTACTTGTGATAATTGATTGTCACCATAGATGGGGCAATTGCTGGAAGCGCTGCTATAGAACTCTACCTAGGCCAGCCTGCGGCTCTTAATACCAGAAATTTTAGACCTTCTCCTAAAATCTGTTTTTTTTTTCAAAAAGCTCCGAGGAGCCCTTTAATGAGAAGGCGGCATCAGAAGTGTCTTCCCGAACGCGGTTGATTTGTCTGGTCCAGAAAGGGTAATAGACGGAATCTTTGATGCTTTTTGACTTCGGGTTTGGAGCTCCACTCGATTAACAGGGTCCTAAGAATAGATTGGAACTCCTCGTTCATTCTAGAAGGAAAAAGACAATCGTAGTAGTCAGATACAGTAGCGCTCAAAGTCTTCGGTGAAATGGTTCATCAGCCGTACTCCACTTCAGTCGTAACTCCCTACTGGATCTAGTCATGCGAAACTTCTATATTTCGAGCGTGGTGTGTTGTGAATATTTACCACTATTAACCTGCAGTCTGATCATGTTCCTGATATTCCAAAGAGCATGAACTCGAAATCGACTGAAAATTCAGATGATGGTACTTCTAGAACCTCTTTCTTTTTGTCATGTTTAAAGTGTACGAACGATAATGCCGAACATAATAGATGAGAAAAACGCTCATACGGTGCGAATAAGTGGAGACGTCAACAACTTTTCTTTTAGCAATATCTGCTACCGCAACAAACACCTTGCTTTATTTGTGGATATTGTAGCTTTGCACTCAAATAGTGTTGGGTAGAGTGAAATATGCTCTAGTTACACATATTCAAATTTTGCGCGAATCTGTCTGTTAAGGAAAAAGTTATGAAAGAAAAAGCAACCTTCAAGCTTCGAAAAAAAAACCTAAAAAAAGGTGAGAAATAGGGCAATACAACAAAGAGAATCCTATCTAACAATTTGTTACAAAGAGGATCTGAAAAATCATTTTTTGATCGATTCAACGAGTTTGAATCCGAATACTCGATTGATTGTTCTGTTGGTCTTGGATGAATGCCGTCCCACGGACCGTTACTCCTCTAGGCGTAACGGTCTGTGGGACGGCATTATTCCAACACCAACAGAACAATCAGTTATTACCTGCCCAACCGATGATTCTGAACTCACCTTTACGAAGTCGAGTGATATCATCTTTTTTCTCTTTAGTCTCATCCATCTGTTGCTCATCCATGGTCATAATGGTTGCCGTTCGTACTCTGAGCTGAAATTGAAAAGTGCTCGAGAAACATCCTTTGATTGGAAGTGAAACCCAACTCACATGCAAATCGTTGGCAGATTGAACTGAGGTCTCCCTGGAGAGTAGACTGGCCTTTTTCTGACTTCCGATAGAGAACTTTTCGACAGCTTCATTAGCTTAAAAGAAAAGTTTCTTTGAGGCTTGTCAACTGAAAGTGTTTCTGAGCAGCCTTCCCAGAGAGCTTCCTCATTGCTGGGGTATCCATGTTCATTTAGGGCCTCATGGTTAGAAAAAGCCGTCGGTTTATAAAATCGAACAAACCGAAATTGACTTCATTAATTTTTT